TCTGCAGCAGTCGGTCCTCGGGTTAGGCCGGCTGCCCCTGCGCTGGGGAGGATGGACGTCAAGAACACAAGCGATGTGGCCGCAGCCCCCGCGCCCGCGCCTAGCCAGCCGCCAGTGCCTCTTATAGAATTCGGGCGGAGCGATAGCCAGCACAGCCAATCAAGGGCTGGCATGCTCTGGCCCCGCCTCTGCCCCGCCCGTTGACGACATTGCCCACACCCTTTAGGTCGTCCTCCGTCCCTCTCGGCTTTGCTAGGGCATCCGGTCTCCATCCACTTCTCCCATCTTCTCTGTTTTGGCCCCGAGTCATAAGCTCTGGTAGCTGGTGCTTAGGAATCATGGACTCCAGTCTCCACCTGGGGGAGGGTTTTGCCTATGTGACAGTGAGAGCCTGGACTAGAACTCAGGAGGCTTAACTCTGCACAGTGCTCCTTCCGGTACCGCACCCCTTGGTCCAATCGGTTCTGCCTGGTCTTCTGCGCCACAAGTCCCACCAGGACCCCCTCCTCCGATCTCCCTGGGGCAGTGGAGAGGTTAACACGGGGGGGGGGGGGGGGGGAAAACGGGGGGGGGGGGGGGGCTGGAGTCCTGGTAGGGATCGGACAGGGTTTGTTCCCCACCAGGCAGGCCCTTTGCGCCTGCAAAACAAACTACAGCGCTGCCGCTGCGTCCCTCTCAGCTTTCGCAAACCTTGATGGACCCACCAGAGGAGCCCCGGACCCCACAGTGTGCAAAATTCTTCCCATGCTCCTGCTCCTGTTTGCTCCTCCCAGTAGATGTCTCACGCCTTTACACAGAGGGGAAGCCGACCCAGAAAGTGCAGTGGTGCCTTCCCCAAGGTCACATTGCGGGTCGGTCGCTGAATCTGGACCACTGGATGGGAGCAGCTCAGCCATTTACACCCTCTGGGGGCTCAGATACCTGGGTTTCCTCCTGCCATTGGGGAGAAACACTGTCATCCTGCCCATTTCCCCCACAACAGAAATGACCCTGCCATACCCTCTCTAAACACTGGCCCAGACGCCAGGGCCCTGCCTCTGTTTCCATCCCTTTAAAGGTGCCATCAGAGATGGGAAGTCCCTGTAATGGGTGGGGCGGAGGCTGGAGGGCTAGAAACCTGTTCATAGGGATTGGGAACTGCAGCTAACCCTGGGCTCAGGGGGACCCGCCAAAATTGTGGCCAGTGTGATTATTGCCCAGGCTGAAGAGGAGGCAGATGGGGGAGCTGCACGGGCTTGATGTGGAAGAGAACAGGGAGCTGCCCCCTCCATGCTTTCAGGTGCCTTAGGTGGAGTGATTAGGACTGGTGGGCGAGACAGCCGGGCTCCTGAGAGGCAGCTCAGAAGGGGCTCAGAGAGGAGAGAGAGATCCATGAGGGGACCAGGCTCTGTGAAGGAAGGAAGACTTAGGAGGAGTGAGGGAGAAGGTGTTCAGTGTCTAGGAGTGGTGGAGACTCAGTGGAGGACAAGTAGAGGGGATCAGTGAGGGCAAGAAGAGGGGTTCAATGACTGATGGCCCAGGGAGGGGGGAGGAGTTTAGTGGGTGCATTGGTTCTAGAGGAGGGTCACAGAGGGAGGAGAAGGGAAGTTCAGTGAAGGAGACAGGGCCTCTGGGACTCACAGGGGTTCAATGGGGATAATGGAGGCTCAGGAGTTACCAGGTTGCCCCCAGTAAGACGGAATGTCCTGCTTAATGGTGTCATCCCTTTGAATGAGCTCCTTTGTGTCATCAAACCTTGTGTCTTTCTCTGTGCAGCACACACACATCATCATCATCATCATCACTCTGGGGAGATTGACAGGTGTTTTGTCTGAAGCAGGCAGATCACTGCTCCCAACTTCTGGGGGATGAATAAGGGGAACAAGACTAGGAATTACCCCCATCACCAGCCAGATCCAGAGAACCAACCAGTTAAAATCCCACACAGGGCCCATCTGGGTGACCTTGGGAAAGTCCTTTCTCTAAGTAGGAAGAAATACTCAACCTATTTTTATTTAGTGGATGAATGTTCTCTATCTCATTAAGAAAGGAGCATCATACATAAGAAAGGAGCATAGGCCCTGACTGGTTTGGCTCAGTGGATAGAGCGTCGGCCTGTAGACTGAAGGGTCCCAGGTTCGATTCCGGTCAAGGGCATGTACCTTGGTTGCGGGCACATCCCCAGTAGGGAATGTGCAGGAAGCAGCTGAATCAATGTTTCTTTCTCATCGATGTTTCTAACTCTCTATCTCTCTCCTTCTCCCTTCCTCTCTGTAAAAAAAAAAAAAAAAATCAATAAAATATATTTTTTTAAAAAAGAAAGAAAGAAAGGAGCATAGCCTGGCTGGCGTGGCTCAGTGGTTGAGTGTTGACCTATGAATCAGGAGGTCACAGTTTGATTCTGGTCAGGGCACATGGCCAGGTTGTGGGCTCCTCGATCCCCGTGCGCCTTCAGGAGGCAGCTGATCAATAATTCTCTCTCATCATTGATGTTTCTGTATCTCTCTCCTTCTCTGAAATCAATATAAATATTTTTTTAAAAAAGAAAGCAAGCAAGAAAGGAGCATGAGCAACCTTTTCTTTCTGATGAGAAACCAAAGCCCCATGAAGTAGAGACTTGTTCAGGATCACACAGCAGATAAGTGGTCAAGCAAGAATTCAAACACATATCTGACCCAACCCGAAGTCATAGCTCATCTCCCTGCTATTCTCTGGTATGTCCTCTCTTCCTATCCTCTATGGCATTTCCCACAAGTTATAGATATATATGTACTTGTTTATTATTTACTTATTTAATAGTCTCTCACCCTAGACTGGTTTTGCTTATCATTAGCCTCTGCTGAAGTTAAGTAGGATGTTTGGCCCTAGAAAGCATCCAATAAACATTTGTTTGAATTGAAAAATAATACAAGGGTAGATAAAGCTTGTTGAGAATAGAAAAGTCCCCTTCGTCATGCATTCATTTATTCATTCATTTGACACATTTGATCATTACCTCCTCTGTTTGGCTGGCTGCTGGAGTTTACAGCAATGATCAGATGGGGCCCTGCCCTTAGGGAGCAAACAGGCTAAGTGGCATACAGACATGTGATGGCAGTTCAGCGAGGTATCTACTGGGATGGGGAAACGCAGAGGCTCTGGGAACACAGAGCAGACATTAAGTCCAGTTGGGTGGGAAGGGGATCAAGGAGAGTTCTCTGCAGATGATATTTAAACCGAGACCTGAAGGATGAATCAAAGCCAGTGATGCAAACATGGTTGGGGGATGGGGAGAAGGAGACAGATTCACGATGAGAATACTGCTTGCACAGGACACGAGATGAGAGCTTTGGCATTTTCCTGCTTTGTTCTTGGCTTCCTCAAGCCCTGGGCTCTGCATGCTCAGAGTGGACAGGGGCTACAGCCAACCCCCTCTCAGTGCACAGCCAGCCTGGCAAACACAACACTGGGAATTAGGAAGTACATTTTTAGACTGTACTAATCATTGCTTTATTCTGATCTTTTTAAAATGTTTTCATTGCTTTTAGAGAGAGGGAAAGGGAAATGGAGAGAGAGAAAAACATCGATGTGAGAGAGTAACATCGATTGGCTGCCTCCTGTATATCCCCCATTGGGGATCAAGCCCAACATCCAGGCATGTGCCCTGACTGAGAATCCAACCAGTGACCCTTTGGTACATGGGATGATGCTCAACCAACTGAGCCAGACTGGTCAGGGCTGTTGTTGCTGTTTTTATCTTTATAAGTTACACAGTCCTCTTGTAGAAAAGATGGGAAATAGAGAAAACATTAAAAACTTAAGAATAGAGAAGAAAGGAATCTAGAATTAGAGAGACTTAAGTTTGAACTGCAGTTCAGTCCTAGCTGTGCAATCCTGAGAAAGGCATGTTTTCTCTGTGATATTCAGGATCTGAGAAATGGAACTGCTAACACCTACGGCCTAAACAAAAGCATTGATAGATGCAAGGATTTGTCCAAAGTATCAGAAGCTGGACATATCTGTCCTTGGTCTGAGCAAGAGACCGTGAAAAAGAAGGGGCAGCTGTTGTAAATGTTTCCCTCCACGTCCCGCGTGGTTCAGGGTTCAGGATCTGGAAGAGGAGCCGCACACAAATGAAAGAGAAGAGACAAGAGATAATTTGGAAATATTGGGGGGCCAGGCGGGTAAGTCCAACTCAAGAGGAAGGACTTCCACTGGTGCTCAGGCCTCACCAAGCTTTTATTGATCTGGGATACACCCATAGCATAGCCCTTAGGCAGGCAATTTCCAGTAACA